GCAGGCAGCCGGGGTGGGGTCCGCCAAGACGTACACGGCCCTCGCGCTTCAGACAATCTCCAAGCAGTTTCGCTGCCTTAAGGACGCGATTTTAGGACAAATAAAGGCCGCCAGCAAAAGCCTGGGAGAGGACGACAACATGGACGGCAAATTGGAAGGGTCTCGGCTGAAATACGTGGATAACCAGATAAGGCAGCAGAGGGCCCTTCAGCAGCTGGGTATGATACAGCACAACGCGTGGAGGCCACAGAGAGGGCTGCCCGAGAGATCAGTTTCCGTGCTTCGGGCATGGCTTTTCGAACACTTTCTCCACCCGTAAGTCTCTTTTTGCTGTCATTCTTTTTTATTTTTATCTTCTCTTTTTATTTTTTTGTGATTGAGTGTGTTCTGATGGTGGTTCTTCGGTGCAGGTATCCCAAGGATTCGGATAAACTGATGCTGGCTAAGCAGACGGGGCTTACCAGGAGTCAGGTGCGTAGCCTCATTACATTGTTTTTGAGTTTCTTCATCTTTTAATTGTTTGCATATTGATGGATTTTGCATCAAAATTACAGAGTTCAGTCTAATGATCAATCAATTAGCCTATATTGTTTCCTGTCTACCAAAAGATGGAAAACAGTAATTGGTTTCTTGTAAAAAAAAAAAGTAATGATCTTTTTTCTTTCAAAATTACTAAAACTTTTTACCTTAAACTCGTTCTCATCTATCTTCTGGGTTGCTCTACACATAACCGAGTTGTTCTTTAACCAAGTTAAACATTCGGGGCGATTTTCAAATGAAAAACATGCCATAATGTTTGACATAAGTGATTTGGATTTACATTAGTTTTTTTTTTAAAAAAAAAAAAAATAGTGTGATGTTAGAAATAATGAGATCATCTGGATTACATCAAAGTGTATTTATATCTATCTCTAGGTTTGCTTTAACATTAACCATTCTTCCGATACTATACTGATGCCAATGCCTATGCATGTACTAAATCAGGTGTCCAATTGGTTCATCAATGCTCGAGTCCGCCTCTGGAAGCCAATGGTCGAGGAAATGTACATGGAGGAAATGAAAGAGCATGAGAAGAACGGCACAGACAACAATAACGACAACAACAACAACAAGACAAGCAAAATCGAGCACTCGAACAACGACGATCCAACCTCAAAAACTCCAAACCAGAACCCGTCTCCAATCAACCTCACCCCACAAAAGCAAGACGA